CAGGCAGATTCGGTTGACAGCCACGGTTGCCATTGCAGGTTATCGGGGTGGTGTAGTGTGCACAGCCTGCCGTTTGGGTCCACCCACTTCATCCGAAAGTCTGTCGCCTCTTAGGTTCTTCTGTCTCATTGCGGAGGCCAGAATGCAACTCCTTCCAGGCTGATTGTGTTTGACAGAATATTGTATCGGCGATCGTTGCTCTCGCTTGCAGAAAGCCATAGGTATGCTGACTCCTCTCATGGGCACACCTCATTCGCCAAGCTGCCATGAGCAGGGCCAGACGAGAATATTGGAACAGGTTCAACATAAATGGCATCCGCTGCATTCCTTCTGGGGGGAGTACTGCAAATAGAATAGTCCTTGCGTCCCAGGGGAAGTGTTGGCCTGTAAAGTAGTGCCAGGCCGCATCCCACCACCTCCATAAGCGAGCTACCATTGGGCAATCCAGAAGGCAGTGCTCAAGGTTGGCATGTTTCCTTGGGGGAATGAGCTCGCAGTATGTGCAGAGCGGGGACAGTATCCCTTTTTGCTCCAGGTTGGTCCTTTCTGTAATCCAATCAGGGGTGGGAAGGCACCTGTGAATGATCTGCCACTGAAGCGCTCTATGGTTGGTCGGTCTAATGTGCGAGTAGGCTGACCACCTAAAGCCACTGAGGTTAGTTCTCTTTAGGGTCGAGTCTCTGTCCCACCTCTTCAGGATTTTCTCCCGAACTGAGGTACATTTTCTCATTGACCTATATCCTTTCTTGACTGAGTACTGCCAGGGCTGCATAGTTGAGGTTCTTCCCCATTTCCATTCCCATTCCGCCGGATCAAAAGGGAGGTGGGAGAGAGGGGGGTGTGGTTCATAAGCATATAATAATTTGTGATCGTCTTGCACCACCCGGACGTGGATGAGAGCCTCAGCTGGGTTTATAATGTCAAGCTGCTCCATCCTGTGAAGCAAGGACCATCTCGCCCCAAGCAGCTCCGGTGTATATGCTATCAGTTTAAGGGAGGCTGGAGAGGGACCTTTATGAACCTTATAGATGGTCATGGGTAGGTGCAGAGTTTGAATGTTCACCACCTTGTTCCCATTAGCTAAAGCTGGACCTTTCCGCAGAGCCCGCACCCATGCCAAAGGAATCGCTTCCTGGATGTCAGCCAGTTCTTGGTGTAGGTAGGGAAACAAGCCAACCTTAGTCCGAATTGCATCGACTGTTTCCCAGTTGGTTGTAGCATCATTCAATAGGTCCCCTACCGTGTAAATGCCCTTCTTGACCCACCGCAACCATTTGGATTTGCGGTTAAGGGAGAAGGGGGACCCCGCATGGTCCAGGATTTGATGGTGTCCCACTCCCAGTGGAAGCCTGAACACACAAACCTTGTCACTCAAGGACTTCGGGCGTCAGGCACAATCAGCTCGCTCGGAGAGCAGGGGGGCCGGGCCAGCGCTACCAGGAGCGCTGCGCCCGGCCGGAACCGGTTTCTCACCGGTGGTTTCACACTAGGGCGATCTTCGGCGCGTCGACTAACGGGGAGGAGAAAGAGCGATGGTTGTCGGGCGCACCGCGAGGTTCCTACACGGGGGGGCAATCCGACGATGAGGACGTAGAAGTTTGGCTATGTGCTGGATGCGTGGCAGTATAGGAGCAAAGGTCGGCACATTGACTAGCGGGAGGGGTGTAAGGGAGGGAGATGGGGGGAAGTTGGGCGTGTTGACTAGCAGGGTGAGGGGTGAGGAAGAGCGACGGTCGCTGGGCGCACCGTGGCATATTGGTAGAAGGTGCTCCTATAGGGTGGTTAGGAGGACGCAAGAGTCGGGCTATGCGTTGGAGGTGCTGCCATATGGGAGTAAAATTCGGTGCGTCACTGTACGGGAGTGAAATTCGGCGTGATTGACTAGCGGAGTGTAAGATGCCGCGCACAACAGAGTAGCAGGGTGATGGGAAGCAGGTCGTGGGAGATGGATGATGGATTTTTATGGGGGAGAAGATGTGTGGAGTGCTTGTGGGTTCCCCCCCTCTTCAATGGGCAGGGCAGTGAGGAGAAGCATGGAAGGTTGTAGTTCGCAAAGGTATTCGAATTCTGCGGGGCCACGATCCTCTTCATCAGCAAGGTATGATCAGTCCGGCAACAACGGTGAATGATTTACGGTCTTCCCCCTCCTTCGACGGCATGGTAAGTATGAATTTGTATAATCTTCTCGAGGCCTCGGACCCCCTGTGGAGACTCACCAACAGGTTTGGTGAGGAGGTACCACACTGTTTTGGTTCTTTCCAGGGATCGAAGATGGTCGTTGATGTTTTCGGTGTTAGCAGTGCCTAGAGCCTTAGTAACTAGCAGTGGGAGGAAGGGTTCTTCCTTCCCCGAAGACGCTGGGGTAGGGTTTGAGGGGAATGGAGGTAAATAGCTGCTGTCGAGGGAGGGGAGAGGGAGGTTATTTGCTGATTGGTCAGCCCATGCCCTGACGATTGCTAATCGATTTTTCTTCATTGATGATTTCGATGGCCCTAATGGTCGTTTTTACTGGTGTTTTTTGCATTGTTTTTTCGAAATT